GTCAGGAAGCAGTTTCTAGACACGAAGAGAAAACACGTCTACTTTGCTTGATCTTTAAGAAACAACTCCTTGAAAAAATTTTCTCTATCTATCATTCCCATATTAGTTCAGCCAATCAAAATCGACTTCCTTTATTTTGTCTTGTATCTGATCCCTAAGGTCAAACTGAGGAAGTCAGAGCAGTGATACAATTCTCTAAAAAAACAAAAACAACAGTCTGTTAAACTATTGTTTAACAATTTGTCCAGGAGAGAATGAAACCAACTCGACAGAAATTTGAATTTGGTGCTCAAATCTCACTTTTGTGCACATTCACGAATCAAGTCGAGTTGAAGCCGATTACTAATCTCAGATTTTTAGAAGTAAAAATAGAAGTATTCTTTGTTTAGATACGAAAGCGGATTTATCTCCCGTTTGCTATAATTTTGCGCTGGTAATTTTTAATACTCATTTGAACTTTTCAGACAATGCCGAAAAAAAAAAAAGTTTTCGAAGACTTCTCATAAAAAAAGACAAAAAACAAAACCTGACCACTTAAGAAAAATGTATTCATTTTAGAATTAGATTAATAACAGAAGTTTGATATTTTTATATTAACTTCAAGGTATAAGCTAAATACCCAAGAATTTAGAACAGTCACTCAGAAAATTAGCTTAGTTAATAATGAGGATCCAGAATGGCTAGAGAAAGGGCTAATCACTGCCTTTGTAAGGGTCTCACGCGGTAATGGCTATATAAACGCCAAATTCGAAATACTATCCTCTTTTTTGTTTCACGAAGGCAGCCCGAAGCAAAGCTCCTCCCTTCACCACTAGCCCTAGACAGTGGCATCAGGTTACAGAAGAACGGGGCCAGAAAACTGAAGAGAAATTACTACGCCATGGATTAAAAGGGACCGCTTGTTCAACAAGGACTGCTGACAAGATGCCCGGACTCCTTTTCCCCTAAGCTAACTAAGTCCACAGAAGTACATTATCGGCAGACAATTCTTTATTTTTTTTTGGTATTTCTCTTACTATATGTGCATATTTATTTAAATAGTACACGAGACAGGAGGATTTCTTTGGTAACGAAGAAAAGATACTGAGCTGGTACGTGATATCTGTTCTTCTATACGGCAGCGAATGTTGGACGATTTCGTCACAGATGAAGAGACTCGAAGCGACGGAGATCTGGTTCTATAGAAGGATGCTAAGGATATCATAGACCGAGCATGTGAGCAACAATGAGGTCTTAGAGAGGGTGCCAACAAGGAGGAGGCTTATACTTAACATCAAGAAGAGGCAGGTGAAGTTCGTAGGACACATAATGAGGAAGGAGGGCCTGGAGAATTTGTTACTCACGGGTCGAATAGAGGGGATGAGAGACAGGGGAAAACAACGCATAACATACCTAGTGACTTTAAGCAAGTGGATGACAGAACGTAGGAGGTGGCAGAGGGAAGGAACTTGTTGAGAGCTGCGAGGGAGGGAGGGAGGGAGGGAAGTGGAGTGGAGAGCCATGATCGCCTACGTCCTGAAAGGACACGGCACATAGAAAGAAAATGTTTCTCTGTCTTTTCTATAAATATTTTCATGGCATTTGTTCTAATGAGCTCTCCTACCTTGCTGCCCCGACTGTATGATTTTACTGCTTACGACTTGACTGGCAACAAGGTTTCATCTTTTTACTGTTAAACTAGCTAGATGCAACCGTAAGTTATTATTTTTTCTTCTCGCACTTCTCACCCGTGGAACTCTCTCTCTCTCTCTCGGTTTCTTGCTTTCCTGCCACCTGCTATCTCCAAAAGTTCAAATGCAACGTCAATCGCCATCTTTTTCTCTGTTCCTTTGTTGTCCTTTCTCGCCACTAAAGTCTTCTCATTCTCTTCCATCCCCAATAACCGCGTGCGTCTTAGTGGCATTATCGAATTTCTCGTGTGGGTTAGTCATTAAAAATAAAAGAAACTCTTATTTACATGATATATGCAGACATACCAAAGGATATGATTTAGAATAATTTTTAGGACAGACTGCTGTTTTAAAATGGAGACTCTTATTTTTATTTGACGTCTTTGAAAGACGGGGGCGTAGTGTCCGACATTAGTGAAATGTTCAAAAGTCAAAATTATTAGAATAAATAGTATTATTGAAATCACTTCCCTCCAAGAAAGGCAATAAAGCCTCTAAGACGCAAAGAGGGGGGTTACTAGGTGTTAGAGACTATAAGGAAAAGTACTATTAAGGAGAGAGAACAGTAAAAAAAAAAAACAAGAATTAAGAAGACAGAAGATGACGATTGGCATTGCACCTAAATCTTTGAAGATCAGAGTTTGACTGGGAATCAGTAAGCTCGGATAGAGTTCCACAAGCGGTTATCTAAATTAATTAAACTAACTAGTATGTACTAGTAAAAAAAAAGTGACTGCCATCGTTAAGTAATATTTGAAGCTGCATTGGTTATATTTTTTGCACGAGTACTCTAAGGTTTTTATTTATATAATTAACTCTACTGTCATCTACGACAAATTATTTTGCTTTTTAAAGAAAAATTACGTTAGAAGCAAAGACAAAAGTACTGAAATGTTATGTAATATCAGTTCTACTATATGGTAGTGAATGCTAGACAATAATATAACAGATGAAGAAGAAACTTGAAGCAACAAAAATATAGTTCTACAGAAGGATGCTGAGAATACCATTGACTGAACATGTGAGAAACGACAAAGTTTTAGAGAAAATGGAAACTAAAAACAAACAAACACTTATACTTAATATCAGAAAGAGGCAGTTGAAATTTATGGGGCACATAATGAGAAAAGAGGGCTTGGAAAATTTGATACACACAGGACAGATTGAAAGCAAGAAGGGCAGAGAGAAACAACGTATAATCTATCTATTGAGCGTAAGTAAATGGATGGCAGAACAAGGTTTAGCCGAGATAACAAAAAGTAAAATTAATAAAGAACTACACATGACAGGAAATTGTGGAGATCCATGATCGCCAACACCCTGAAGAGACACGGCCAGCATATAGAAGAAGAAGAAAAAGAAGAAGTAAAAATATCAAAAGAAAGTTAACACGAAGCAAAGGAAAAAAGGCAATAATTTAGCAACTTAATATCCCTTATTTACTAATGAGCTATTGTGCTATTATGGTAACACTATACTCGTTTTCATATTGACGTCAAGTAATCTCTATCTATAAAAGGCAGGATGTGTGTGTGTGTGTGTGTGTGTGTGTGTGTAACGAATGCACGGCCGCAATTTTCGACGGATTTGCACCAAAATTTACATGCACATGCTCCAAGTTAGCGGGAAGCCAAGACCGACCTTGCATTTCCCAACTCCCATCGATACTGGAAATAATCGATTTTTTCATGCTTCTACGGCAGTTTTCTTGTAGTTTGCGGCCAGTTTCCACTGGCCAGAATGAGATCCAATAGCTGGCTGCCACGAATAGGCAGGAAGATTCTATTGGCCAACGTGAGAGCCAACAGCTGACTGACACGAATGTTAACTAGCATGCTAGCATGCAAAAAAAAAATAAAAAAAATCGATAGCTGCAGTCGTCACAAGTGGGAAAAATTTAAATCTGCATGGCACTTTACTCCAATTGGCTCATTCGCTTGCTTAAACTCAACGTTGATTCTGATTCCGCAGAACTGGGTTGGGTGTAAAAAAGTATTTGTTGTTAACTTTTTTTTTTCATTCGGTTTTTCCAGTTACAAGTTCCTTTTTAAAACTGATCATTTTGTGTTCATTTTGTTTAGTTCTTTTTTCGTAACAGATTTAATGTTTAGTATAGAGCTTAGAAAAAATTCGCATGGTGAGATAGGTAAGAAGTAAGGCATGTAGCAACAACAGCACGGCAAAGGGCACTCCTTTAAAGGCAAGGAAGGGCAAAAATATTTTAAGTCAAGTGATAGCGATTGCTGTATGAGTAGTACGATTTTTAAATCAAGCACGGGCAACGCCGGGCCATGCTGCTAGTGCTTTCTATTAAGAATCGAATATCTCATTACTCATATCAACAGGAAATCAGGCTGCGTGACCGATAAATATATAAATTCACATTATATTTATTATAGCATAGAATATATCATTGTTAATGTTATTGAGGAAGAAAGAGAAAAGTGCGTCAACAAAGTGGCGCTAGGGATAGAAACATACGAAGCTCAGTATATCCACCAAGATACCCAGTCCGTTAAGAGTATGTCATGTATCACCTTTGCTGTGCTATACTTCAAGCTTAAAAAAAACCCCCAAACAACAAACCTTTCAATAACCGGACATGATACACACCACTACTTCCGCTCATGCACAGCCATGCACAGTGTGTTATCCCCTAGGGCAGCGGTCCTCAACCTTTTTGCGCCATTGACCGGGTGTCACGCAAGACAATTTTCCACGGTCCGAGGTCAGCGGGGATGTCGATCACGCGCATAACAAAGCACAATAAATAAAACAATAAAATAAAAAAAAAAAAAAGAAGTTTTTATCCCTTCTGGACCGTCCCGTACCAAATGGTCCACGACCCGGTACCAAATGGTCCACGGCCCGGTACCGGTGTGCGGCCCGGTGGTTGGGGAATGCTGCCCCGGGGGCCATCTGTTTTAGAAAATAAACAAGAAAATTCTCAAAAAAACCCAAAAAAATCAAAGGGTCACTTAGAGCTCAAACTAGGCATCGCAAACAAGGAGGAGATAATTTGTAAAGTAGATGTCGCTGTCCTAACAGATCACAGAGCAAAACTGAAAGATTGATCGATTTCTTTTTAAGGCTTATAAACCTCTTGTTAAGGCCGAAACATATTTCGTAAAATTGTAAGAATAATATTCTTTTATTTTTTTGAATGAATATTGTATTAATAATTTTTAGTAGATAATGATTTTCAGATACAAGTCTTACTATTCATCTTTCTCAAGGGCATTTGCGCCTGAGTAAATATAACAATGTCACCTGGAATTCGAATTTGGCTCTCTGATTTCTCATTCTGAGCTGTTATCTATTACACCCAAGCTTACAGTACCTGGTATTCCCAAGCGGTTACCCATCTAGGCACTGACCAGGCTCAATGTTACTTAACTGCAGAGATCGGGTGAAAACCAGTTCTTCAACATGGTATAGCTGGTATGTATGTATGTATGTATGTATGTATCTATGTATCAACATGGTATAAGTCAAAACTGAAAACTTGATAAAGCAACGTTGAGCCTGGTTAGTACCTATATGGGTGAGCACTTGGGAATACCAGGTACTATAAGCATGGATGTGCGGGTAGTGTAATGGGTAATGACACGGAATTGTTAATCGGAGAGCAGAATTCCAATTCGAGTTGGGTTCGTCATATTGACTTACGCGCAAATACCCTTGGGAAAGATATGAGTTCACCTCTTCTCCCCCAGGTATGGGTTAATTAGTGTTGTAGAGTAATTTTCACAGTGGAAGCTTGTATTTCACTAAGTCGGTCCTAAATTAGGTTCGACGTACAAAACGTTAGGAACTTGAAATAATAGTTAATGACGCAGCAATCTAGTTGTGGGGCTCATACTTTAATGTCCGACATCGACTGACTCACACAACTCACTCCGCTCCACTGGCTACTGCTACTAATACTACTTATTATCTGTGGGAGAGTCTATTTACAATAGAAATAGGTACGTTCCGATATAACAATTAGTAAGACTTGTATCACTAAACTATTATTATCTAAAAATTTTTTTTACAATCTGCAGGTATTTTCTAGTTTTAAATAACATGCAAATGGTTAATAAGCCTTAGAAAACGAAAAAAAGATATTGATGTACTTAGACCAAACAAAGCACTAAATTCAAAATCATAAGAACTGAAAATTTGACAAAGGACTGAGACTAGATTCTACAAGAATATTGAGGAATGTATTGTTTGTTTCTTGAGGGGCTTGCTGTCATTAAGCGCCCTCCCAGCCAACAGACACCTAATGTAAAAATTCAGATGCATGAAATAATGCCAAAAGAACAAAACTCAAAGTATCTTATTCTTTTTTGGTCTTGTAGAACCAGATCGACATCTGATGGCTTTAAATAAGGAAAGGCGCACTTGGCATATCGTGTATGCGGTTGTGCCAGTGGATTACAGAATACAAATGAACGAAAGCAGAAAAGTAGAAATATACAAGAACTTCACCCGTGAGAAATAGGATTATGTCTATAGTTGGTAGTTCCCTTGGAATAGTGCCAAAAACATTTGCGGCAAGACTGGATGAATTAAGAATTCGAAGGATATAGAGAAAAGTACTGAAGGTTTGAAGATACATACTGCCATTTGAATCCGAGAGATGGCAATCAGATAATAATAATAATAATAATAATAATAATAAGCAAAATGATTGGCGTAACTCTTCCAATATTTTTCAACACTTAAGAGAAGAGCATGAATTAAGAAATTAAAAAGAAAAGAAAAAAGATCAGTGTTAAATAATATTTCGACAGTATGTCTGTCTTCTTCAAGTTATATTTAAAAATATAAGTATAAAGATATATAAATCTACAAAAAACATCTTTCTACAAATGTTTTGTATATTTACATATTTTTATACTTGAAAAAATCTTTTTATATATAACTTGAAGAAGACATATGTACTGTCGAAATATTGCTTAATCTTATCGAACACTTTTTTTCTTTTCTTAATTCGTGCTCTTAAGTGTTGTAATAATAATAATAATAATAATAATAATAATAATAATTATAATAATTCTTAAACGTTTTCACTGATAAGCGCTTGGAGAGCAATCACCCTGATATTACACTTGCGCACAAAGACAGCCATGAATGGGTCCTGACAGTCTTTGCAGTGCATTGGGATAAGAATATCGTGGAAGCGGGACAGTCGAAAACACTGAGGTACCAAACCTGGCAGGACAAATTGGAGGAATGTATCAAACAGAAAATCAAGTTGTTCCTGTTGTGGTTGGCACACTCTGGACTATTCCCAGGAATCTTTCTACCTCGCAAGACACCTTGGAGATAGCTGACATCGCTTGAGGTTCACAGGTGGCAGTGTTGCTTGGAAAAGGTCTCTAAGCTCCGGGTAGCAGCTGAGATATGACTATCAAGACCCGGCCGAAACAGTCGGGCAGGATCTCAAAGCAAATAATAATAATTCTAAAGAGTATTGGGTAAAAAGTGGAAGACTTGGAGACCCCCAGGAAGAATCGAAACCTTCTTCGCAGCATTATTAAATAAATAAGAATACTAAAAGAGTGTTGGGGTAATGAGCAGACTTGCTGTCACTTGATCTTCAGTGAAAGCCATCAGATACCAGTAACTCAGGGCTGAGACTCTGTTTCACAACAGTATGCGGAGATCCCGAGAAAAGTGTTTGCAATTTAAATTGCTGTCACTCAGCGATAATCATGAAACGTAGTGTGAACATGAAAATGCATGAAATATACTACTACTTCATTTGCTTTTTTCCGCTACTACTACTACTACTACTACTCAGTCAGTTAAGTGCCATCCGTGATACACGCTTGGGCGATCATGTATCTTTCGATACATGACTGACGCGGCTGATTTTTTCCGTTGTAGGTTGCCATTTCTTTCTGCGGTAGACTGGTTGCCAATCAAGGCTAAAGGACCCAGTCTATCCTGCAATTCAACCCATAGCTGGGGGGAGAAGAGATGGATTCAGTACTAGACTAAACTAATCTGACTAAATATATACAGAGGAGAGTTTTTCAGATTCTAGGGAACTGACTGTAATTTAGTTCCAGACAATATCCATAATAATCCTCTGGATACAAGATACAATGTTAAAATAATAATAATAATAATAATAATAATAAAGAAGCCACGATTTTACGAGGATCACTACAACAAAACTCCTCTATTAGCTTAGACCCTGAGGTAACAAGCAAAGATTTAGAGCAAGAAGAAGCTTATAAGTACCTCGGTGTAAATGAAAGTGAAAGAATCCTCCAAAAATGAAAGAAATAGTGCGAAAAAAGTACTATAGAAGGATGCGACTGATATTAAGAACTGAATTGAAGTCTTAGAACAGGATTACAGCCATTAATAGCCTTGCCATCCCATTGGTTCAATATAATTTCAACATCTTGAACTGGACTCTAAATGATATCAGACGAATGGGTTCTTTCTAAGCATATCATTCATCATCCAAATGTTAATTCCTGACCGTCTATACATACCCCGTAAAGAGGGCGGAAGAGGTCTTATTCAGCTAGAATTGTTATACAAGACAACTATTGGCTTACTAACATACATGGAAACAACAAAGAACTGGATGATACAATTAGTCAAACGACGCGAAAACAGAAAGAAAAAAAATTCAATCATGAAAGAAAGTTGTAAATACAAACGAAATTTACATTTAGTCGATTCTGTAAAAAATCAAAACAGAACCCAAGAACCAACTGTTGCAGCAAAAATTAAGAAAAAGAAAGCCAAGTCTAAAACTTTTGAACAGATGAAATAACACTGGCAAGACAAACCACTGCATGGCCAATATCCAGAACGAGGCTAATAAAGCCGATGTTGATAAAGTTAACACTTGTTGATGGTTACGTAGTCTTGCAGCGCAAGAGCAGAGTCTTTTCACTAGAAAATTTCAGGCAAATATCATACATAATAGTGTGGATCCAAAATGCAGGTTCTATAACAAATATCAGGGAACCATAGACCATCTAATCTCAGGAGGTTCTCTACTTGCGCCAAATGAATATAAAAATCGTCACGATAGAGGGTGGGGAAATACTTACACTGGACAATGTGCAAACATTTTGGAAAAGATGTTAATAAACACTGGTATGATCATCACCCAGCACTAGTTACATAAATAGAAGACATCACAATTCTATGGGATTACACCATATTCACAGACAGGAAGATTGAAGTAAATAGGCCGGACATTATTGTCAAAAACCGAGAAGAAAAAAAAAACGTGTCTATTAAGTGATATGGCTTGCCCAGCGGACTGTAACATAGCAACCAAGGAATTTGAAAAACTATCGAATTATAAAGACCTGTAAATCGAAATAGAAAAAAACGTGGAAATTGAAAACAAGTATAGTACTAGTCTTTCTAATTGCCCTTGGAATGGTAAAAAGGAAAGAACAACAACACATTGAAAGAAATCCCTGAAAATCCCAGCTTAAGAGAAATAAAAACTTATCTTGATAAGTGCAGTCCACATACTAAGAACGTTGTTCATGTAACGCTAATAAAGTTATGGGAGTTAGAAAAACAAATGATGAAATGTAGTCATACCAACACACCATTACCTGCCTTAGGTCTTCCCACAGACTTGGTAGGTGGTGTGACTATAGCAGAAATCAAAATATAATAATAATAATAATAGTCTTGAAATGGAATTTTAAAAAATGTGGCACATGAGGACATCAATAATTCCAGTTGTAGAAGGAACCCTAGAATTGTTTAGAAAATAGGCCCATGCCTTAAAAAAATACAAAACATTGTACTCACAAGTACAGCTCACACATCACGAAGAGCTTTAACTATGTAAAATGTAAGTGATCTTAGATATTTTTTTTTTGTTTTTACAAAAAATGATCGGTGAAAAATGTCATGAAGCCATTTCTAATCTTAGGTCTCTGGTTGGGATCCAGGAGGAAATGTGTATACTGTAGAAACCCAAAGATATAATAATAATAAGCAACGAACAGTTGAAGGCATATCAGAACCTCGCCGGGGATCTGAAGAGGCGTGGGATATAATAGTTAAGGTCGTGCTCAAAATAAATGGCACAGCTGGAACCTTGCCTAACTCACCAGAATTGAGACTGGATGTATAAAAGACTCTGGGGAGAATTGAGACAATTCAGTGCTGGGGTCAGTGAAGATACCGAGAAAGGTTACGTAAACTTTCCTGTCACTTAGTCTCAGTGGTAACCATTTGCCATATGACGTGAACACACACACACACACACACACACACACACACACACACACACACACACACACACACACACACACACACAGAAACTGTTTCAGAAAACAGGGAAAGTGAAATTCTTTGGTACGTTGAAATTCAATCGGATCTCCTAAACTAAGCTTCGAGACCAAATCTAGTAATCGTAGGCAAAGAGAAGAGCTGTCAGATGCTGAGTGTC